GTATGCTTCAAAACTATCTATAGGCCCTACTTTGTGAAACGGTTTGCTCTCCGATCAATTTTTTTAGGGTTAAAGGCCTGCTTGCAATTAACTGTGTCTCGAATATCAGTATCTGCATAACTGGTAAGTCAATCAGTCAGTTAAAATATTAGAAAGAACTGAGTGTTTTTCGTTGAAGAACGTTGTCATCTCACCATAGGTCGTTGCTTAACGAACGAGTCGTAACGAGGGTTCTTGTGCCGACCGCAAGAGGCATAGTGGAAATAGCCAAATGGCCTCTGTGCGTTTACATTTATCCAGTACAATCAAAAGTTCTAATGACATTAAAACGCTCGACCAAAAAAGGGTGTCTACAGAAGTAAAATAGTAAGCAATATGGCCACTGTGAGGCAAAAATTTATGTTCACTCATATCATTTGTACAACGACTCTATTATAAAGACACCATGGCCAGCCAGCCAGCCAGCCAGCCAGCCACAACTGCTTCATAAAAAAAAACGTATTGGAAGAGATAAACTTGTTCTTTGTACACTAGAAATGGATAATTAAGCCTCAGAAAATCTCGGTTAGCGAACAGCAGGCTACCCACGTTATTCTGTTGCAGCTTAACTTGCTTCCCTGTCCTGTATCTGTCGTTATGATTTTGCGAACTAATCGCGAAAAGGCTTGCTTTAGGACTACCCTTTTTCCAATACTGTATAAAATACTTAGGGATAAATCTCTCATAGCTATATGCAACGTTGTGTCTAGGCTTATCTGCATTTACAAAGCTGCCAAATTGTCAAACCACAAATAATAGAATAAAAGAGATAAGACAACTATTTTAGCAGATATATTTTTTTACCTAAAGCACAGGCGAACACGCAATAGCTAAAATTCATTTTTTATCGTTATCAACTAAACCATAGATATTTCGAAGAAGACGACATATCGTATTGGCACGTGGTGAATCGTACCGGAAATTTCGAATGTCCAGCTGAATACAAGACCAACACAACTATATTCTGGCAAGAAATAAAAACAGAAAGCGGTTCTATATACATCGTTCATCTATTCGTTGGCGGTTGGCATTCAGACTAAAGCTGGTTTCCTAGTGTATGTCCCAGGCGTCAACAGGACCCCAGTTCGTACAAACATCAGCACTTATAATTTCGACAATCCACTAGGATCGCTAACCCCGAATTAAAACGAACGCGCACATTTTCTAATCAGCCGCGAAATTTGAAATTACGCGTTAGACCTGCAAAATCTATTAATATACTGATGTCGAGGGGCCAGTAAATCTATGCGGCAAAATCCAAATCGATTCTGCATTTATTATGGAGGTTCGCACATGGACGTTTCGTTCGTATTCGGCGTCAGCTTCACAGCATAATACGTAGGAGCATCTGAAACCTTCAAGAAGACAGACCTGTGTCGACTAGCACAGCCAATATGAACAAATTCAGTATGACGTAGAGTATGGACTCAAAAAACACTGATCTCTCGATCTCGCTACCAGATGATTAGATAGCACGTTCATTACTGGACGCGAGAGAAAAAGAAAGATGGTTTTCTGTTAGCTGGCATTCGCGTTTCAAGGGACACACGCTGCTTTCTCTTGAATGCCCCCGTAACATTGGTTTATTATTTATGATATAGAAAACTCAAAAGCTTCTAACTAAGTACGAAAGTACAAGAAATAACACGGCCAAACACGACCAGGTTAGTTTCAACAGAGGTGGTCGGGTGTTTCGTGAAAAGGAAATTGAAAAACCACTGTTATATATAAGCAAAGAAATCTCAGTATTTCTTAAAGCAGAACGCTCGTGTGCCCACCAAAGACTGTGAAAAAAAATCGAAAATTCCCATTGCCGACAAACTGCCTTTCAGCGAAGTAACTTTGACGTTTTTGGCAATATTTGGCTGGAAAATCATCATAATCGCTTAGTGCAACGTTTCTAATTATAGAAAACTAGTATTAATGGAGCTAGATAAATGGAGACGTGAAGCTTTCGCCGATCATCTCAAAGAAGTTCTCCTTCAGCAGAAATTGTTCTGAACGTAAGGTGCGGCAAATGTCAAATAGGACACATTGACGAATACACGCTCCAGCTAAAGCCGTCTTCGTTCAACACAAAAAATGGTATTAAAAAAGGGTGGTCGAAAAAGCAAAACAATATATCTTGCCACACTGCATCAATAGGAATCGCCAGATTAATGGTAAGCTTTTAAAATAATATAATAACTACCCGTGACGAAGTTGTAGAGGAAGACCAACCTAGCATCACACCTAAACATAGCCGCAACTCGTACGTCGCCCGAATGTCATCACATTGAAGAGGGATCCTTCGTATTATTGCAAATACGGTTCAAGCTCTTTTCTGGCTATCTTCCTTCATTATGTGTCTCGAGTCCATCATGTTATCATAAACTAGGACTTATCATTTCCATTGGCCATGTGTATGTATACACATATACATATATATCAGTCTGTACATCCGAAAGCAACTAACAAATTGGAATAGTTGAATGTCAAGCGGTTATCTATGTGCATTGGCTTAAACCTTACCACCTCACTTCTTAAAGCCTTTCTGTAACTCCAGTAAAATCGACAGACGGGTTATATAGCCCACATGGGCAACTACCAATATACATGTATATCATTAAACAGTCATTAAATGTTTATCGATCGATACAGAAATTTTGTTATCAGTTGGCCGTTTAGTTTAATGTTCAACTTTAGATATCGATCTAAGAATGCAATAACCTACAGGCAGGCAGGCAGGCAGGCAGGCAGGGAGGCAGGTGCTTCTGGTCTGATTATACCGATATAGCGTCAGGTTTTAAATTACAATGCAAAAAATTACGCAAACGGACCCGTGACGGCTATAGAGTGCTTGTTGTTGCTCAATAACGGTACAACATCATTTCATGATTTAGTGACATCAATTTCTGCCCCGACACAACATTCGGCATTTGACCACGGTCCTTTCCACTTGATTTTTTTATTTCATGTTTAATATCATCACTATTAGTATTATTATGTCATCAGCAGCCTATTCTACTCTTTTACGATCGCTAGAACAGAAAATAAACATTGTTTGCTGTGTTCCTCTAACTGCTCCCACGGAGGTAAGCAAAACACATTATGACTAGGCGTAAATCTTTGACAACAACTTAAGCAGAAAAGCCTATACATGATGCGAATTCATCTACCTTTTTCTATATT